TAAGTAGGCATCACTATGATGTAAGTAGATATCAATATAGCTATAAGTAGGATTCACTATATATATAGTGAATCCTATTTATAGCTATATTGATATCTACTTAATTTGTGAATGTAGATTGGATTAAGTCGTTAACTCAATCCAATTCAAATAAATTTGTGAATACATCTATTGCTTGCTTTATTAATAAACTTTTAAAATTTAATCTAATAAAGTTTATTTAATATATTATAATATAAGTCAACATCCCTTTTTTGGTTAGAGTATCCATTTTAATAGCAAAGCACCAATATGTTACATATGTTACCAACCCACTAACTTTAAGTAAATTTATTCATTTGATTATTTAATATTAATTTTCGGATTTTTTTTTGCTAAATGTTTAAATAAGATAATAAATAAAATTAATTCAAAATATATTTTTTTAAAATTAGATAAGTATTAATATAATTTAACCTTATAAATATTTTATTGATTATTTAGTATTTAGTAAATATGAAACCAATAGTTTTAAAATTTTTAATGATAATATTTAAATAATTTTATATAAGGGATCAAACATTGTTTAAATATTATACTAATTTAAAAAATCTAGTCGGATTTTAAATATGGTTAATTAAATGGATTATTGTTGATAAGATAATCAATCATTAATTTGATGAAGCTAAAACTGGGTAAACTGGTAATTTAATATTTTGGGGTAATTGCAGAATATATGCGTGGCAAATTAAAGACAAATCAAAAAATAGAATAAATAGGAGCCACAAAAGGTTACACTACTGATCAATTGAAAACAATACTGCATGTAATCTATTTGTTTTACTTTATATATTTTATAATATTAATTTTTTTTTTTGTTGTGTACACAAGTATTTAAAGAACTGAATTTCTTTTCTTACATTATTCGATCAATTTAAACTCTTCGCACAACTTTCACGCCCCGTTTCGATAATAAAAGAACATTGGTTTACCTTGTTAGAGCTTTTCCCAAATTTAACGCATAAACAATAAATTAACAATGAAAGTCATTGACAAAATTCTAAAAGCTCAAGAGGAAGATCGATCTTATTGGTCTTTTGAATATTTTCCTCCGAAAACTCAGCAGGTTTAGTATGAATTTAACTTTTACTCTGTTGAATAAGAAATGTTGCAAGTGTGATTTCATTTCTTTAGCTTACATCAGATGGGAGAGTACTTGCAAAAACGCGAAATATATATTGGTATATGATAAAGTTATCAAAAATTCCTATGTTAATATAATTTAAATGGTCGAGTACAATTACATAATCAATTATCTCAAACTACGGAAAGATAAAGTAAATAAACGCGTCATTCTCATTTCCGTATGATTTATAAATATTAGGGTGTCCAAAATCTTTACGATCGTATGGAGCGAATGTATCGCCTAGGGCCTGAATTTATTGATGTTACATGGAACGCTGGTGGTACTTCTTCACAACTTACAACTGAAATCGTAGCTACTGCACAGTCTGTATACGGCTTAGAAACGGTCATGCATCTTACGTGTACAAATATGCCAAAAGAAAAAATCGATAAAGCACTTAGGGTAATTAATTCATTATCATTTTCTTGTTATTAAACGTTTATATTATTAATTAAATAATGAATATTTAGGATGCAAAAGAATGTGGCTGTCAAAATATTCTTGCTCTAAGAGGTGATCCACCACGCGGCCAAGAACAATGGGAAGCATGTGAAAATGGATTTACTCATGCTATCGATTTAGTTCGTTACATCCGTCAACAATATGGTGATTATTTTGGTATTGCAGTTGCTGGATATTGTGAAGGTCATGTTGATAATCCAGATAAAGAGGATGATCTACGTCATCTCAAAGAAAAAGTTGATGCCGGTGCAGATTTCATTATCACCCAAGTATTCTATGATGTTGATTTATTCTTGGAATGGGTCAAACAATGTCGTGCTATTGGCATTTCTTGCCCTATTCTTCCTGGACTTTTGCCTATTCAGAATTATGCTGGCTTTAATAGAATTATAGTTCTTTCGAAAACAATTGTTCCGCAATTTGTATTGGAAGAATTGGAACCAATTAAGGACGATGATGCAGCAGTTAAAGAATATGGTATAAGATTGGCGGTTGATATGATCAGAAAAATGTTTGAACATGGTATAAAAGGCTATCATTTTTATACCATGAATCTTGAGAGATCAACTCGATTAATTTTAGAAGCTCTAAAGTTCGTGCCTCCTGTAGAAAAAGTGAAGCCATTACCTTGGTGCCCAGTAAGTGTCTTCATATTTTTATTTATTTTAATATTAATGTCTATTATTCTTAATGAATTTATTATGTGAATGTAGTCTCTCTCGGCCAAACGTAAAAAAGAGAATGTTCGTCCTATTTTCTGGAGAAATCGCACGAAAAGTTATATTGCGCGAACTGAAGCATGGGACGAATTTCCAAACGGAAGATGGGGTGATTCTCGATCACCAGGTAATTAATTACTAGGCATCTTTTTTTTGTTAATTCACAAATATTTTTGTAAGCATATTAATATATGTTCTTAAATTTAGCTTTTGGTGAGCTTGACGGTTATGGAGTTTCACTTAAACACAGTGTATGTGTAAATTATGCTTAAATAATTATTGTTTTTCTTTGGAATATTTTCATTAAACTTTGGTAAAAAATTTGTTATCGCCTATACTATAGCCAAAAGAAGCTTTGAAAGTATGGGGTTATCCTCAGAAATTTAGTGATATTTCTGATATATTTGTTCGATTTTGCCGTGGTGATGTAAATTCTCTACCATGGTCTGATTTAGGTCTTGCAGAAGAATCTAATATCATTAGAGAACAATTGGCACAAATAAATTCTTTGGGGTATTTTACTATTAATTCACAACCTGCTGTTAACGGAGTACGCAGCGATCATAAGGTTTTTGGTTGGGGTCCAAAGAATGGATATGTTTATCAAAAGGTAATATATTCAAATGCTCCTTAATAAGCATATCCTTTGATATTAATTAATCTTCTTGTTTATTTCTTAGGCATATTTAGAAGTTTTTGTTTCTCCTACACGACTTGATGATCTCATTGCAAGAATTGAACGCGACCCCAATATAACTTATTATGCCGTAAATAAACAGGTGAATGTCAAATAACATGGACGTTTCTCGTGGAACCTTGAATCAAATTTTGATTTTTAATTTTTTTTTTTTTAGGGAGACTTAAAAACAAACACTCAGAGTGATGGCCCTAATGCCGTTACTTGGGGAGTTTTCCCTGGAAAAGAAATAATTCAACCGACAGTCGTCGAAGCAGTGAGCTTTATGGCTTGGAAGGTAAATAGTCGTGTATATTGTATAATATTTTTGCTATGTGATTCATTTATTAATATTCCTTAATTTCTATATAAAAATAGGATGAAGCATTCGAATTATGGAATGAATGGGCCAAAATTTATGATGCGGAATCCATTTCTGCTAGATTGATTACGAAAATAGCAGAAGAATGGTATCTTATTAATATAGTACATAACGATTTTCATGATAATGATGGTATATTCAAAATTTTTGAACAAAGTGCTACGGACTATGTTGAGGCTGATCGTTAATAGAGAATACTTCAAAAAAAAAAAAAAAAATTTAATTTATGATTGTAAGTGAGATACATATATATAGATAGATTGTTCCTTTTTTCTGAGAATGAACTCTGTTATTAAATATATTATTTAATTGTTGAAATTAATTTGAAAAAAAAAACTGTTAAATCGTTTCACATAAGTGAAATAATAATTTTGTTTTATTTATTTGTTCATTATTCAATGAATGTATATTGGTTTATATTTATATTTTATATTTTTATATTTTTTTTTTAATATTCTTTTAATTTGGATGATTTCTTTAAAGTATATATATATATTAATAAAATACGAAATAATATCCTATATTCAGTATTAACGTTAAGAAAAAATATATAAAAGTAATATAATCGGAACCTCGCGGATTTAGGAAGGGCTGAGTTAAATGTTTTAAGCCTATTTATTGAGGCGATTACTGCATGAATGGCTCGACAACACTTTGATACCGAAAGTTCAAGTACTTATACTAGCTTTTTGAGTTCCTTGGAAATTCACTTTAAAATATACTCAATCAATCACGAAAATATTCCGACTTTAATTTAAACCGCAACGATTATTAAAGCAATAATGGCGGTTTAAAAATAATTAGGTAATCAAACAAACAAGCATTTCCCCATATACATAACTTTTTTTCCGGATGACATATATTTAAAATATTTATTTCAAATATTCACATCATCCGAAAAAACAATAGAAATTACAAACCATATAGGGTATATCGTTCTTGTTTGTTATCGGGAAGTTGTTTTCATAGTTGATAAGAATATATAACACACATCCCCATAAAACATCATGATGAACGATATAAAAAATAATAATAATAATAACTGCATTGCCGCCATATACTAACCTTATATATAATCTTTATTAATCGTAACATATTTATACAACCCTCCTTGTATAGATATGAAAAGACATAAAGAAGACAAAAAGGGGTGAAAAAAGAGAAAAAAATAAAAACTAATAAATGAGGGATACAAGCTTTTGTTCAAGTAATTATAGTACTTATTTGTTATTTGCAAAAAAATTTAAAAAAAAGTAATGATTTTTTACACAGTTATATAATTTTGTTACCATTGATCATGCCTTTTATAAAATAAATCAATATCCTCCTTTTTTTTTTGCAAATGCTTAAGAACAATAGCTCATATCCTTCCCATTTACTGATCCGTTTCATAAAATTTATATGCAAGCTCGGCTACCTCCTCCTTTGCATCTGATTTCTTGGGACATAACTTACTTCCGGTAAAAATGCGACAATTAATGGTTACAGTGCTTCTATATCCTCCGCATATGTTATGAAAATCAAAATCTGGTTTCGACCAACTTCTCCTTTGGCAGAGCTCATGAAGCAAAGTAATATATTTTTTTCGTAAAAGCCTTCCATTTCTATCAGATACCTCTTTCTCAAGAGCTCTCGTTGGTTTATGTAACGGCGCGGCAGTACCGTATAATAAACGTCTCTCTTTACGGGCTCGACCATTGAGCTTTTTTGTAGTTGCATGTTTATTATGAGATACAGGGACAGCGTACGGATGATAACCATTACTAGCGCTTGTTTGAATTAATGATGTTGGGGAATTCGCTACATTAATAAATGATGCATTAGTTGATAAGTGACCAAATTGACTCACATTTGGCGTTGGAAAAGCATAGCTATCTGCAGATTTATTATCCACATTATTGAAAAAAGGAACAGTTGAGGAACTAGCATATCCATACGAATCAACCGTCGGTTGAGAATTATAACTAATTGCATTACCAAGTAGATTATTATTAGTATTGCCATTTGGATCCTGATATCCTAAAGGCTGATCGTATGTAAAGTTCGTAACAGCTTGAATATTCTCACTCAAGGTTGGCGTGTAATAATTGGTATAGTTATCATAATAACCACCACTAACCGAATAATTTGCAAAAGGAGTCGGTGGTTGAACTATTTCCTCATGTATTTTTTTGGGTTCTTCCCTATATAATCCTTGACGCATATTATAAGTCCTGACCTTTCGGTCAATTTCTGCTTGTTCTTTACTGATAAATTCATTGTATAATATATCAAAAGCTATTTGTGACACATGATCTTTTGCGTCTTTCTTAACCTTAAATGTATGCTCAGAACTAAATTTTCTCGAGTTTACTTCGCAATCCATTTTTAAGTGTCCTTCCCAATCTTGTCTTAGATTATAAACAGGTTGTCCAAGTTTATGATATTGACAAAATTCAAGTAACATAACACAAGGTCTTTCATTTACGTGGGTTGCTTTGAATTTGTCCAACCATTCAACAGAATGAGGGATCGTATCTGTAGGTTGAATTATTTTTGGAAGCTGTCTTAGTCCTCCCCCTCTACAGATCCTGGTATCCTTCTTTGGAACTGTACTTGCTTTAACAAGTGCATCTTTGATTTGTTTAAAAATTATGGGCATTTGTTGCTCTAAGGTTAATAAAGCAATCTTTGCCGCATCTTCTTTGGCTTCTTGTTTCTTTAACCTTGGCTCCGGTGACTTAAATCTTTGTTCAAGAAACTCCACAGTACAATAAAATCCATTAGCTAAAACTTCTTGTGTGTAGTTATATTTTGGTGGAGCTGGTGTCCTCAATTTTTGATGTATAGTATTGAGCCAAGTGATTGGATTTAATTCATTATAATCTGTATCGTTCCAACGCTTCAAAACCTTAGGACCCTCAGGGTCATATAACGACGAACCTTGAGTTGGAAGATTATTTGCACTAACATCAGACGATGCAACTGGTCGAATAGTATTTACTTGAGGTTTTAATCTTCCCTTGTTGTCTTTTGGCATTGTTATAAGAAAGTAAGTCTGTGCAATTTTCAAAATGTTTGTTTAATGCATGAAATGAGGTTGAATTGTGGTTGTTACAATCAATATTCTTTTGTCGGAAGTTTTTTTTTTATTGTAATGAAGAGGCATAGGGTGTATTCACAAATTCAATTGGATTGGATTGGATTGGATTTTCTAATCCATTTAGATTGGATTGGATTTTCATAT